AAAAAAAAAAAAAAAAAAAAAAAAAGCCTCAACTTTAAGGTCAAGGCCGCTACCTAGCATTTCACGAAGCATTCAGTTATTCATAGGTTGCTACAGGCAAACTTGGGAAAAGTCTGCCAGCCAGCATAAACTTCAAGTTGAACCTAACGCAACATTTACTTCAAGCTTGTCCAACCTGCGGCCTGAGGGTAGATGGCTTTTAATGTGCCCCAACACAATTCATAAACTTTCTTAAAACATTATAAGATTTTTCTTGAGTTTTTGGTTTTTTTTGTTTTTTGTTTGCAGCTCATCAGCTATCTAATGTATTTTGTGTGTGGCCCAATGTGACAATTCTTCTTCCAATGTGGCCCAGGGAACCCAAAAGATTGGACATCCCTGATTTACTTATTTTTATATCATCTTTATGGATTGAAAAGGCTGAAAAAATTTTTAAAAATATATCAACTATTTTTACATCAGATGAAAGGAAAAAAGACAGAAACAGATGCAAACATCAAGTCCATGCTATTAATAGAAGAAATGGCTACTCTCGAAGCACAAGCTGACTCCCTGGTGAGTGAGCAAATATTTTTATTGGCTCTATTGGAAAAAAAAGAAATATCTCTCTACTCTAATTACCAAGGCAGTAGTAACAAAATCAAAGCGTAGACATTTGATAAGTATTAGTTGGCATAATTTAATTTGAAGCAGACAAGATTTGGTATTTTGAAAAGTGTGCTACTGGACTAAAAATTAGCGGAGGAATCACTTCAGACAGAAAGGAAGAGAACAATGAAAACCAGCAAAACAATTATTTTTATGTTAAAGCTCAAGATAGAAGACCATCATCAGACCAATCTTCCCAGAAAAGCAGTTTCTCCAGGTCACTCACCTATCTAAAAATCTTAAATATTCCCCATAGTCTACAGGAGAGAGTAAAAAACCTATCAAGGTAACAGAGCTGCCAACTACCTTTCTATTATTATTTTTTTTTTTTGAAACAGAGTCTTACTCTATCCCTTAGGCTGGAGTGCAGTAGGGAAACCTTGGCTCACTGCAGCCTCCATCTTCTGGTTTCAAGTGATTTTCCCACCTCAGCCTCTGGAGTAGCTGGGATTACAGCAGGTGCCACCACGACCAGCTAATTTTTGTCTTTTTAGCAGAGATGAGGTTAGGGCCAGGCTGGTGTCGAAATCCCAACCTTGGGCCTCCCAAAGTGCTGGGATTACACGAGTGAGCCACCACACCTGGCCTACCTTCCAATTGGGCCAGACTGGTTTCCTTATTTGTTGCAGGCAAGAACAAACCATGCTCATTTCAGCTCTGTATCCACAGTGCCTATCTCGGTACCTGACACACAGTAGTTGCTCAGTAAATGTTTGTTAATTCAACAACTTGAATGCTCTGAGGCCTGTGCTCTCGGTGCTGCACTCCTGGAAAGGCCTCATCCAACCCACCATCCTTCGACGGCCAGCTCAGCTCCCTGCACTCTTCCCAGCATAACACTGAAGCAACCTGCCCTCGCCATTGCCTTCTCCCACTCTCAATTCCCACAGAATCCAATCACTTCTGATCTTTATTGTTATTTAAACATTTCCTGTTTCCGTGTTTTGTCTGCTCCACCAAACTGGGCGCTTCTTGAGGAAGGCAGAATTTTCAAGGCAGTGAGGAGCACTGGAAGGATTATTGATCTGTGACCAGGCAAACCTAGTTACGTGACTTGGAGAAAAATGTATATAAAACCCTTCGAACAATGCTTAGAACATAGAGTGCACTTCATAAATGCTGGCTACTATCGTTATTCATCTCCCGGAACACCTCAGTTCTCTCACTTATAAAATGGAGTGATAAGTTCTACGTCAAGTGGTCTTCATATGGAACAGGAGTCTCTAGGACCTTCCTAACACACAGGAGCCACTCAATAGCCACCTGGCAATTATTATTACAAAGACTCCTGCTGGGTGCAAAGAAGGTTCTTAATAGAAGTTTATGGGATGAGCTGAAGGAACAAGTGAGAAAAATGTATCCTCATATCAATTCATTTATCAACAGAAACACTTTCAGTCATTCAACAAACATTTATTAAGGGCTTATTATTACGTGCCAGGCTTTGTTCTAGGTTTGGGATAATACAGTAAAAACAGTTCTTGTCTTATGAAACTTACATTCTAAAGGGGAGGCAAACAATAAGCAGAGAAAGACAAATCAGTAAAAGTTTGGTGTTAAGTCCTATGAAGAAGAAGGAAAAAAGGTAAGCCCTTGGAAAAGGGCTGCCTGAAGATGTGGCATTTAGGCAGAGATCTGGATCCTCAAGAAAGCTTGATTTTGTGAGACTCATCCTTACCCTCACAAGACTCTAGGAGTTCTTCCACTCCTCTAGCACCAAGACCCTGTACAACCAAGGAGGCTGCAGTTTGACTTCTAGTACCCCTCTCTCAACACAGACCAAGTTACAAACTGCTGAATGAGCAACTGCAAACTCATTTTTTGTTATACTTTTTGAATTGGCAACTTAAGCTCCAAGAGGGAGTAAACTGATTACAGCCATACCGCAACTGGTCTGTTCCCCAGAAAGTTCAGATCACTGTTCTCTCCAAACAGGTAACCTTCAGGATGAGTTGAGTCAAACTTCTCTCCTCCCATAATGAAGTGGCTGGCAAAATAGCTTCCTAGAGAGAAACAAACAGAAAAAAAAAATCAAACAACCAGAAAACCGTCAAACTATATGTAGTAAAAAAGCTGATTTTTTAAAATGTTAAGCCTTTGGGCTCTATGTGGTGGCTCACACCTGTAATGTGACTAGGTTCGGAGAGCTTCCAAACAGGGGAATACTTGGAGGTTTCTCAATACTTTGGGAGGCTGAGGCAGGCAGATCACCTGACGTCAGAAGTTTGAGACCAGACTGGCCAACATAGCAAAACCCTGTCTCTACTGAAAATGGAAAAATTAGCCGGGTGTGGTGGCATGTGCCTGTAGTTCCACCTACTCAGGAGGCTGAGGTAGGAGGATCTCTTGAACCCAGGAGATGGAGGTGCAGTGAGCTGAGATCCTGCCACTGCACTCCAGTCTGCGCAACAGAGCAAGACACTGTTTCAAAAAAACAAAAAAGTTAACCCTTCGAATGAATAATTAGAGCAATTTCTAATCCCAAAAGTGTTTTCTTTTCCTGATTTGGGACAATGGCACAAAATAAGTAAAATCACAGCAGGGAAAACCCAAGATACCAAACATAGAATAGATCACTGTTTTCCTTTTAACATTCTTAATTGAATTCTTCTCATGATCTGTCTAAAATACCTCCAGCCAAAAGACCAAAAGGTCCTACAATGCACATTAATGATCATATATACATTTTTGTTCCTGATTTTTGCCCTTAAATTTGAAATAGTTATTCCATGTATTGAAGAATCTCAGCTACAGGCATCAGCATATATATATATATATATATATATATATATATATATACACACACACACACACACACACACATACACACTATGATATTATAAAATACATGTTTAATTTTCAATCCATTTCCTGGAATGCAACTCTTAAAATTCTTGGAACATCTAGGCCAGGCATGGTGGTGGCTCACGCCTATAATCCCAGCACTTTGGGAGGCCAAGGGGGACAGATCACTTGGGATCAGGAGTTAGGGACCAGCCTGGCCAACATGGCAAAACCCTTTCTCTACTAAAAATACAAAAATTAGCCAGGTGTGGTGACACATGCCTGTAGCCCCAGATACTTGGGAGGATGAGGCAGGAGAATTGCTTGCACCCAGGAGGCAGAGGTTGCAGTGAGCTGAGATCACGCCACTATACTCTAGCCTAGGCAACAGAGAGAGATTCCCAACTGAAAAAAAAAAAAATTTAAATCCTTGGAATATCCAAAGTGATGTCTGTTTTTTTGTTTTTTTTTTTCTTGAGACAGAGTCTCTCTCTGTTGCCCAGGCTGGAGTATAGTGGCGTGATCTCGGCTCACTGCAACCTTCACCTCCCGGGTTCAAGCTATTCTCCTGCTTCAGCCTCCCGAGTAGCTGGGATTATAGGCACCCGCTACCATGCCTGGCTAATTTTTGTATCTTTAGTAGAGATGGGGTTTCACCATGTTGGCCAGGCTGGTCTTGAACTCCTGACCTTGGGTGATCCACCCACCTTGGCCTTCCAAAGTGCTGGGATTACAGGTGTGAGCCACCTCACCAGCCAAAGTGATGTCGTTACATATGCTAATGAATTAACCAGTGGCTGGCAGCCTCTAGGTAGCCTCAGGATGGCGGCTGGTCACTGGAAAGAACATGGCAGGATTAGAAGGTTAGGACTTTCAGCCTATCCCCCAACCACCGAGGAAGGGAAGAGGGGCTGAAAGTTATCACCAATGTCCAATGATGTAATCAACCATGCTATGTAATGAAGCTTCCATAAATATCCAAAGGACTGGGTTCAGAGAGCTTCCAAACAGGGGAATACTTGGAGGTTTCTAGAGGGTGGCAAGCCCAGAGATGGCATGGAAGCTCTGTGCCTCTTCCCACATAACCTTGGCCTATGTTTCTCTCTCTGTATCCTTTGCAATATCCTTGATAATAAACTGGTAAATGTGTTTCCCTAGTTCTGTGAGCCTCTCTAGCAAGTTAATCAAACCCAAAGAAGCGGTTATAGGAACCTGCTTTCTGGTTGGGTAGCCGGAAGCACAGGTAAAACAGCCTGGGGCTTGCAATGAGCATCAGAAGTCGGGGGCAGTCTTGTGGGACTACACCCTCAACCTGTGGGATCGGACGTTATCTTCAGGTAGTTATCAGAACTGAAATGAATTGGAGGACACACAGCTGGTGTCCTCTGCAGAACTGAGTGGTTGCTGGTGGGAAGAATCCCCACACATTTTGCTGACCAGAGGATACAGAAGGTTTCTGTGCTGCTTCTGTTGTAAGAGTACAGGAGAAACTGAGTTTTTTCCTATATCTGCAGATACATTTCTTTGCCTAGATTTTCATAACCCAGCTTAGAGCTACACACAGAAATCTTGGTATCCACCTACCACTACTTCTATACCTCTATAATCTTCTATGATGAAGGTTCTTCATCATAACTTGCTTCGAAACATGATTGTCTCAGAGGAAAATATGAATTTAAATAATACACCTATCCCTGGCTTTCCCTACCAATTACCACACAGACTATGGTATAAAATAAGAGGACAATTTAATGCTATGAAAGAAGGCTACACACATATCCTCTCCACCTCAAATTTATTAAGTGCTAATGGCCAGAGCTCCTGGGATGCTGGGACATCAGTCATGGCAGGGCCCCTTTGTCCCTTCTTAATCAACCAGGAGGCAGAAATATTTTCAATACAATATAATAACCAAATGAAATCAGCAGTCAGGGCCAAAATTCCCATCTGCCTCATCCAGACAAACCAAGGAACTGTGTCAGGATATGACGGAACTGAGAAGTCACCAAAGGAGGCTTAGGTTATGCTGAAAATTCCATCTGGGAATACATTTTAAATTTGATGATTAAACAAATGTTTCTTACCCCTAATTTCTATGATCTAATTCTCCCATGAAGGTAAGCTGTTCAAAGTAAAGAACACATCCCATAATATACCTTTATCAACACTCTCATATACCCCATTTCTGAAAGTAATACAAGGAACTTATAAATGGTGAAAGGCTTGCTTGTGTATAATACAGTGAGGATACACAAACTCCCTAAATCAGTTGCAACTTTTGTTGAAGATTTGTAGCAGGCAGGGTGTGATGGGTCTTGCCTGTAATCCCAACACTCCGGATGGCTAAGGCAGGAGGATTGCTTTAGGCCAGGAGTTCAAGACCAGCTTGGGCAACATAGCAAGACCTTGTCTCTACTAAAAATAAAAAAATAAATACAAAATACAAAAATTAGCTGGGCATGGCCGGGCACGGTGGCTCACGCCTGTAATCCCAGAACTTTGGGAGGCCGAGGCGGGTGGATCACGAGGTCAAGAGATCAAGACCATCCTGGTCAACAAGGTGAAACCCCGTCTCTACTAAAACTACAAAAAATTAGCTGGGCATGGTGGCGCGTGCCTGTAATCCCAGCTACTCAGGAGGCTGAGACAGGAGAATTGCCTGAACCCAGGAGGCGGAGGTTGCGGTGAGCCGAGATTGCGCCATTGCACTCCAGCCTGGGTAACAAGAGCGAAACTCCGTCTCAAAAAAAAAAAAAAAAAAAAAAAAAAAAATAAAAATACAAAAAATTAGCTGGGCATGGTGGCGCGTGCCTGTAATCCCAGCTACTCAGGAGGCTGAGACAGGAGAATTGCCTGAGTTTAGGAGTTAAAGGTTGCAGTGAGCTATGATCATGCCACTGCACTCCAGCCTGGGTGACAGAGTGAGCCCCTGTCTCAAAAAAATAATAAAGAAAGAAAGAAAAAAGAAAAGGGTAAAAAAAATATTTATAGCAAACTAAAAAAAAATGAGATTCGGCACTTTGAGCCTGTGGAGAAGGAAGCCATAGGAAGGAAGACAGAGAAGAAAATTCTAGCGAAAACTGAACCAAACAATTATTTTTAAAATTTTCTACACATGGAGCTTTAGTCTAGAAACACCTATTAAACAAAACAATTTGGATAAAGTCACTCACCACAAAGTGAGGCAACTGTTGAATTAAACAACCAGGAAAACATTATTTGAGAGTAATAATGCAGACAAAATCAAAGTAATCACTGAGGAACTCTTGAAAGTCACCCATCAAAACTTAAAGAGACAAAGGGCAGCCATCTGCAGTGATACAACAGTGGAATTCATCATTTAGGAAAGCTTAATTATCAATTATTTATGTCTAGCACTTGCTAGCCCTATTTTCCAAGTGCATAATTTATGGAGAGGGGAGGTACCTAGCTGCCTTAAGTAGAAGCAGGCATCTCAAATAATTTAAGTCATTTACTGACGAACCTTAGTAAGATATATTTTTGTGTACATTAGGGATTATATGTTTATCATACACTAGGTAAAACTGGAAGAGTTGAAGATGTTACATGGATGGATGGCTTGTCCAAATCACGAATAAAGAAAGGGGAGAAGAGAGAGAGTCTGATGTCTGGAGTTGTCTAGGTTGACCTCAGGGTGGGACCACTGAGTTTCCAGTATCTGTGAGAGCTCAGGAGAGGGATCTGGGGCAGTAAAATCCATGGATGATTGGCTTAGAGGTAGCCATGATTGAACCTAGCGAGAGAGAAGCACTAATGATTTGGGGGCTAAAGAGTTAAAGCAGGCAACAGGGTTCTATTAGAAATGCCTTTTTATGCCATAATATTAAAAGAAAATAAATGACCACAAAAGATGTGTAGGGCTAATTGTAGTTTTGCCTTGCATTAAAATCAAAAATAGTCTGGGCATGGTGGCTCACACCTGTAATCCTAGCACTTTGGGAGGCCCAGGTGGAAGGATCACTTGAGCCCAGGAGCTCAAGACCAGCCTAGGCAACATGGTGAGGCTCTGTCTCTGTATATTAAAAAAAAAAAGAAAAGATACGATGGTATATTCAGTCAGTAGAGTATTATGAAGTCATTCAAAGTGGTGTTGTAAATCTGTATCTACTGACATTAAAAATGTTCATAATATATTACAATTAGGCCCTCATCTCTACAAAAAATTAAAAAAACTGCTGGGTACTATAGCACAAGCCTG